TTTTTTTTTTTTTTTTTTTGTATAGATGATTATCCAGCACGGAGTAAGGATGGTGGTTGTGGAGCCTTTTTACACATACCCACGCCACTTTATCACCCACTATTCATAGTATTGCTCTTATATATCTTTTTAAAATTTAATGGGAATATATATTGTATATCACATATTACGGAGGTGGTTTATATTCTCAGATTGATTTTCCTTAATTATAGACTAGGTTTTACATCTTAGTTATATATATATTCCAATGAAGAGCAACGAGAATAAACAAGCCGTTCTTTTGAACTCTCTGTGTCTGGTACATATCATGGTATCAGAGCTTCAACCACTGCAAATTCCGCTTTAAATCATCGAATCGATGGCCACCGACACCGGAAATACTTCCGCCGAACCGATCCCGACACCGACCTCGAACCCCGACACGACCAACCCTTCGAACTCAGCATCCGCAATGAACGGACGCGACGCGAACCCCCGAAGAACGATCTCTCCATACGACCTAACACCCAGTGATAACCCCGGATTGATCCTGTCTCAACCACTGCTTCGTGGAGAAAATTATGATGAATGGGCAATCAACGTACGCCAAGCACTCAAATCCCGGAAGAAGTTTGGATTCGTGGATGGATCTATACCGCAACCTGAATCTGATTCGCTGGATTTCGAAGACTGGGATACGAACAATGCACTAATTGTTTCGTGGATAAAGAATACACTAGAGCCGCATCTTCGTTCTGATGTGGTACATCGAGAATTCGCTACAGATTTATGGGAATATCTGAAACGCAGGTTTGGAAAGACTACTGCTCCTCGTCTTCTCAAACTCCGAAGCGATCTTGCTAATTGTAGACAACACGGAATGACAGTCGAGTCATATTTCAGAAAGCTGACAAAGTTATGGAACGATCTAGCCAATTTCAGATCCTTGAAAGTCTGCAAATGCGGCAGGTGCTCGTGTGATATCGGTGCTACTCTCGAAAAGGAGAGAAACGAAGACAGACTGTACGAGTTTCTACTTGGTCTGAAGAAGCCGAAATACAACACTGCACACTCTTGGCGTTGATCACGTTGCTCCCATGACTATCCACTGTGATAGCCAATCCGCACTGCAGATTGCGGCCAACAACGTGTTCCACGAACGCACAAAACACATCGAAGTCGATTGTCATTTCCTTCATCACCATCTTTCCAGCCGCAATATAGCAACCCGACATGTCTCGACTCATCACCAACTTGCCGACATCTTCACCAAGTCACTCGGGAAGAAGGAGTTCAACATCTTCTTAGACAAGTTGGGCACACATCATATATATGCTCCAACTTGAGGGGGGTAATGGGAATATATATTGTATATCACATATTACGGAGGTGGTTTATATTCTCATATTGATTTTCCTTAATTATAGGCTAGGTTTTACATCTTAGTTATGTATATATTCCAATGAAGAACAACGAGAATAAGCAAGCCGTTCTTTTGAACTCTCTGTGTCTGGTACATATCAAAATTCTCTAACAAATTTTTAGAATTCGTCCACTAAAAAAATATTAAAAATTTCCAAGTAAAATTACTTATCACGAAAAAATTTTCTAATAAATAAATAAGTAAAGAAACGTTAATAGGATATACATAGGACTAATTGTTTTCTTTCCTCTTCTTCATTTAGCACGTGCGTGATTGGTAGTTGTATCACACAATCACCTAACCAATTTATACGTACTGGTTTTCGTTTTCCCTCCCTGAGATATATTTAAAAAATAATAATAAAACTATGGATTTTCTTTTATCACTTTGTTGAATTTGCCATCGGAAGTTGGAATTGTCAACAATCTTTTGCTACACAATCAATAAAAAAAAATATACAAAAGGAATATAATACAAGTGGTCTTTAAAAAACAAGGAAGACCAAGAAGTCCTAATTCAACTTTTCACTCCGACCGCCAACTTTGAAAGAAATCCAATCATCACACATAGACATATAAATAAAATACTCGAGACTTCAACAAGCCACAGCATAAACGATCAAGAAAAACGAGGAAGAAAGATCGAGAGAAGAGAGAAAGAAATGGCGGCGTTATCGGACAAGCAAGCCGAAGCCTATCTCCACGCGAGGCCGAGGTATCCGTCCGAATGGTACGGAAAGCTGGCCGCCCTGACGGCCGAGCACAAGGTGGTATGGGACGTGGGCTGTGGCAACGGCCAGGCCGCCGTCGGGGTACAAGCTCTTTCTCCTCTTGATTTTAAATCCGAAATTTATCAAATCCAATAATTAATATCGATTTAAAAATTCGATATATAGAATCATTCAGTTTAGTTTAAGTTTGCCCATCTTCTATTGTCAGCGTATAACATTGACAAATGTATATACGAATGTATACAGGTGGCTGAATACTACGACAAGGTCGTGGCAACAGACATTAGCGAGTTACAGCTCAAGAGAGCGTTCAAACATCCAAAAGTGACTTACCATCACACTCCAGCTTCCATGTCCGATGACGAACTGGTCGCTCTCGTCGGCGGCGAAAACTCCGTGGATCTAATCGTGGCCGCTCAGGCCGTACACTTTTTCGACACCGCTAGATTCTACAACATAGCCAAACGCGTTCTTCGCAAACCGGGCGGTTTGATCGCGGTTTGGGTCTACAACGACCTCATAATCTCTCCCGAGGTCGATCCCATCATGAAGCGTGTGGTGGATTCCACGTTTCCGTTCAGAACGCCGATAATGAATCTGGCGTTTGACGGATACAAAACGCTGCCGTTCCCGTTTGAGAGCGTGGGGATGGGGTCGGAGGGGGAGCCGATAGCTCTGGACATTCCGCATAAGCTTTCGCTCAAAGGGTTTGTGGGGTTTTTGAGATCGTGGCAGCCTGCGGTGAAGGCCAAGGAACAAGGGGTCGAGCTCATAACAGATGATTTGATCAAGGAGTTCGAGGAAGCGTGGGGGGACGATGAACCGGTCAGGAATGTGTTCTACAAAGCGTATATGATTGTCGGGAAAGCTCGAGAATGATCGAAGACATTATATATCAATCATTAATCAACAAAGGAACAAAATAAGTTCATGTCTTTGAATAGCGATGTTTTTCGTGTTTGTAACAAATCGAGGGATAATAATAAGCAATTTTATTTTTATTTTTTTTTTGTCAAAGGTTGGTATATTCATAACTTTCGGAACCGGTACAAAAATAATAAGCAATTTTAGAGATTCAAAACATTTTGCACGTCATTCTTAATGACATTTTTAAAATTATTCTTAACATAATTCCAGAAAACAAATAAGTCCTCAAACACATATACTTCATTTACGTAGTTTGGGCCAATTCAGTAAATACATATTGAAAATTTATGTATTAAGAAAAATTAAATCTCCATCGCATTAATTGTTTTTTGACCAGCGTTGTAAATAAAATCATTATTGTAAGATAAATGAATGATCCTTAATCCTTTTGACACGACTGATTGTGGCATAACGTAAGAAACAATTCTAATCATTTTGCAATATATATATATATATATATATATATAATATATGAACGACGACGTGGGAACTGGGAAGTATTTCCAACGCGTATTGTATTTGTATTTGTATTATAGTCTATAAACATAGCAACCTTACCTATATTATTGACGACGATACCAACCCCTTTGTGATGAATTAGAAAAGTTGACAATCACGTCTTACGATTAACCTTCCATGCCAAACCTAATACCTGCTTGTGGACAACCAGAATCGATAAATTATGAAATGTATGAAATAATTTCAGAAAAGCCAGAACATTGTATGAAGCCGACCAATTAAATGTTTGATAGTTTACCTTAATCATCATCTCCACTATCTTCCTCTTTCTCAATATTTACAAGTAATTATTATATATAATTATAAAAAACTTTTTGTAATGGTTCGAAATAAGCCACGTATTTTACATTCGTTGGACCCTGTGTAGGGGATATAGGCTATACCTTATTTTCATCATTTAACAACAAGATGGAGCCTTATGGCTATAGCTTATTTTTGACAATTATGCTTCGTGAAAAACCCTAGGGGAGCGTATGGTACACAAACAAGCAAGCGTTACGCGTGTGCTGCATGTCTCACGCACAAACGAAATTTACTCGACCAAAAATCAAATCCATGACATATTATTACAAGAAGTGGGACTATAAATTAACCGTTATTAAAACCATAAAACTTTCTATCTTAGATAACCCTATTGAAACACCAATATGGGACTGACGTTTTCATTCACATGCATAACCTTATTAACCGTCTTCTTCCTAAGGTTTCTTTCCAACTGGAAGAATTCAACCCCCGAGAAGAAGACCACAAACCCGCCACCGTCTCCGCCAGGACTTCCGGTGATAGGAAACCTCCTCGATTTCGGAAGACACACGCACCGGTCGCTTAAATCGCTCAGCGAACGGTACGGACCGTTGATGCTGCTCCGCCTGTGCAGTGTCCCGGTCCTTGTCGTTTCCTCGGCAGATGAGGCTCGGGACGTTATAAGAACGCATGATCGTGCATTTTCAAGCCGGCCCACGTCGAAGTTTATAGCAAAACTGATGGGTGGTGGGCAGGATATGGTCTTTGCCCCCTATGGCGAATATTGGAGACAGATGAAGGTATATATATTTGACCCTTATGTGCTTTTCCATTCATTTTTTTTTTGGTTAAATGTGGTTTTCAAATTTTAGTTCAAGAATTATGGAAATAAACATTATTTTTCGTCAAATCTCATCCGTTTATTTCCTTTTGGATGAAGAGTGTCTACGTTCTGCATCTTCGATCAGCAGCAAGATGGTGAGCTCTTTCCGAAACGTCAGAGAGGAAGAGATAAATTCGGCCATGGAGAAGATCGAGAAAACGAGTTCTTCTTCCTCCCAGCGAATTTGAGCGAAATCTTTACAGCTCTTACGAACGATGTGATATGTAGAGTTGCGTTGGGAAGGAAATATATATAGCGGAGGAGAAGGATCGGTGAACGTTCGCGAGCTATCGGGAAAGCTGATAAGCCTTTTCGGTCAGCTCTACGTCGAAGATTATTTTCCAGCATTGGGATGGATAGACATACTTCGTGGTTCGGCGGGGAAAGTAAAAGGAACAATAGATGAGTTTGACGGTTTTCTCGAAAAAGTGGTTCAAGAGCATTCGGATGACGATAGAAAAAGAGGGGATTTCGTGGATATCTTGCTCTCGATCCAAAGAGAGAATGCTGTCGGGTTCGAGATCGACAGAGTGAGCCTTAAACTCCTTGTCGCGGTAAGAGAAAGCCCCCGATCACAGTAACTTATATGAGTCGAGGTGAAAATATAATCGAAATCACAAAAGAATTCTTCACCAATCTTTGATCACCGTTTGAATCGTGGTTTGCTTCTCTTTCAGGATGTCTTCATTGCGGCAACGGATACAACTTCTGCCCTTTTGGAGTGGGCGATGACAGAGCTCCTGAGGCATCCAGAATGTGCGGAGAAACTCCGAGACGATATTCGTGGAAACTCGAGCGATAGATCAAGATACGTGTCGGAAGAAGATATTAGGGATATGAGATATTTGGAGGCTGTGATCAAAGAAACGCTACGGCTACACCCTTCAGCTCCTTTGCTTGTTCCAAGACAGTTGATTGAAGATGTTAGGATCAAAGGGTATGACGTAATAGCAGGTACTCAAGTAAGCAAAGGACAAAACTACCAGGTGACGTCATGTTTTTTGTACGGAATAATACACCATAAACACGAAACCCTAAATTTGAATACAGTGAATGCTTTTCCTAAAACCCTTTCTGATCGAGTATGGTTCCAACATATTTGAAATCTATTACTATCGGAAATGGTATATCTGTTAACGCAGTTAAGATCGTTTGAGACAGGTACTGATCAACTACTGGGCGATGGGGCGAGAAACCGCGACATGGGGAGAAGATGCGGAAGAATTCAAGCCGGAGAGGCATTTGGATTCGTCGGTGGATTTCCGTGGACAAGACGCCAAGTTCATACCCTTTGAAGCAGGAAGAAGGATATGCCCTGGAATAGGGTTTGCCTTGGTGATGGCCGAGCTGGTATTGGCCAATCTCATAACCCGGTTCAATTGGAAAATTGCTGCCAAACCGGAAGGCGATCATTACGATTTGGCAGAATCAACCGGTCTTGTGGTTTCCCGCAAGTACCCTTTACTCGCATACGCATCTCCAGCTTCGTAGACAGACATGACGCAACTTGCGTTATTGTCGTAATTAATCTTATTGTATTATTTTAATTGCAGTTAATTGCATGAAACATTATTCATTGGTCCTTAAGTGCGTTTATGCATTGACTTGCATGTAACATTTTATCATTAATGTTCAATGGTATGTTATATATTATACAGCATTTGGCATTTGATCTTTATTATAGTAATAAGACAAGAATTAAGAAAACAAAATTCAGTCTGTGTTATTTATTTTCTCTCCCCCTTTATGTGAATGAGTTTTACTGTGGTCTAATGTATGTGGGTTTATACATCATATTCGGAATCGAATCTTGTTCTTGTATACCTAAATAAATTCGAAACATTTTACCAACAAAATACGATTTTTTAATTATGAAAAAATGCAGTTGTAAATTGTAATTAAAAACACGTTATTCATCCAAACGAAATATATTCATCCCTAACAAAGTAATAATATTCATTATAATAAAAAATATTAGACAGTCAAAACTAAAATTGATTAGTTTATTTATAAAAAGAAAGATTAATATATGTATATATAGTTGATTCATATGCTACTTTGTATATTTGTGTGTGTATATACGTGTTTGTAAATTTTTGTTTTTGTTTTTAAAATTAATGCAATGTTGAAGTAACAATAAGAGACCCAACAGATCGTGGACGAGTGGTCAAGCTTGGGGTAAGAGGTAATTCCACCTTGAGGTTGAGTGTTCGATTCCTGACTAGTGGGGAGGGAGGTAATTTCTGGATTTATATGATCCATATTCGGAGGTTTACCTAGTCAGCGCGTCCGAAGGATAGCAGCTAGGGTTTTTCGTTTAAAAAAAAAGTAACAATAAGAGAGACGTCAATTTTTAGATTTGTCATGTTATCTTCGGTTATGACGGTCTTTTCAATAAACGATATTAACAATGTAGTTGATATAGGAAGATATTATTATTAGAATATTATCATTGATATGATTATGATTTACCCTAGATATTATGCCTAGAATATTCTATTGTATTTTGTTATATATTATGATGTATTCTTCCCATTATGAATAATAGAAAAACATTTCTCTATTAGTTGAGATACATCGCAGTTTTCTAAATTAGAATTTTATATAAAATTGAAAAACCATTATTTTATTATTTTTTGTGGAATAAATAATAATTGGAGTTTCGATTTTCGTTTGTGTCATGTCTAATGTTCACTTCACACAGCCTATAATTTGTTTTACATATTTTCCTCTTTTATTTGCTCGTAATATTTTCGTCTTTTTTTTTGTTAAACTAATATTTTCGTCTTCAGTTGTACACATTTTTTTTAAAAAAAATTCTACTGACTTTTCCTTTTTTTTTTTTAGATTTTTTTAATATGTCATTTAATTCGTTATTAAAACATTAAAAAATTCGGTTAAAAATTTGATTAATATACAAACAAAACGAAGCCTTGTGGCTGGCTTATTTTGACCCTTATGGTGGGGGAAGAACTAGTGGGACGGACGATAAACTAACATCCAAATGTTTGGTGCATGCGTTGCATGTTTCACAGCAAAGGAAATGCATGCAATAAATTTAATCTTTTGACCTTTGTTATCTTTAATCAAATATCTCGACCGCTTATCAACTTTTAGTCATTATTAGAACTTACATATATAGACTGAAATTGTAAAACTCTCTATGTCCTCGATAACCCTATTGAAACACCAGTATGGAACTGGCACTTTCCTCGTTATTATGCATAACCTTACTAACCATCTTCTTCCTAAAGTTTCTTTCCAAGCGGAAGAATTCAACGTCCGAGAAGAAAATCGCGAACCCGCCACCGTCTCCGCCAGGACTTCCGGTGATAGGAAACGTCCTCGATTTCGGAAAACACGCGCACCGGTCTCTGAAATTGCTCAGCGAACGGTATGGACCACTGATGCTACTCCGATGGTGCAGCGTTCCAGTCCTTGTCGTCTCGTCGGCGGAGGTGGCTCAGGACATCATAAAAACGCATGATCGTGCGTTTTCGAGCCGACCCAGATCGAACTTTCTTGCGAAACTAATGAATGGTGGGCAAGATATGGCCTTTGCACCTTATGGCGAGTATTGGAGACAGATGAAGGTACGTACTTTGAGAGAATTTTACCCTTCAGAAGTGGTTTGATCACATTCAAGTAATGGGTTTCATTCTGAACAGATTGTGAGAAAGAAAGCCTCAATGTTTCATGAACTCAACAAGTTTGGTTTTTTTTAAAAGCAGTATCCATGCACTTGCAGACATTTCCGTACGTAAATGGATTTCAAAACTTTCCAAAAATGTCCGTAGAACGTTGCTCATATAATGATACAGTTTTTGTCCTTCGTTTGTTTTTCTACGCAGCGCATCTACGTTTTGCATCTCTTCAGCAACAAGATGGTGAGCTCTTTCCGAAACGTCAGAGAAGAAGAGATAAACTCGACCATAGAGAAGATCGAGAAAACGATTTCTTCTTCTTCCCCGACAAATTTGAGCGAAATCTTTATGACATTTACGAACGATTTGATATGTAGAGTTGCATTGGGGAGAAAATATAGCGGCGGAGAAGGCGTGCCGGACGTTTATGAGCTATTGAGAAAGCTGATGAGCCTTTTCGGTCGGCTCTACATCGAGGATTATTTCCCGTTTTTGGGATGGATAGACATACTCCGAGGTTTGGCCGGTGAAGTGAAAGAAATAACGAAGGAGCTCGACGATTTCCTTGAAAAAGTGGTTCAAGAGCATTCGGACGGCGACAGACAAATAGTGGATTTCGTGGACGTCTTGCTCTCGATACAAAGAGAGAATACGACCGGGTTTGAGATTGATCGAGTCAACCTTAAACTCCTTGTCGCGGTAAGACAAATGTCCATATTCATGGAAACTTGTATAAGTCGAGGTGAAAATATAACCAAAATCACAAAAAAATTCACAAATCTTTTCAGGATGTGATGAAACTAATTAACGCGAATTCAATCGCAATTTGCTTCTCTTTCAGGATGTCTTCATTGCGGCAACGGATACAACTTCTGCCCTTTTGGAGTGGGCGATGACAGAGCTCCTGAGGCATCCAGAATGTGCGGAGAAACTCCGAGACGATATTCGTGGAAACTCAAGCGATAGATCAAGATACGTGTCGGAAGAAGATATTACGGATATGAGATATTTGGAGGCTGTTGTTATCTTCCTTTTAATTCCTCTCAAAGAGTGTTTCTCTCTCTCAATTCACTCTTTCTTTGAATTAAAGGAAGACATAAAAACAAGAACTATTTCTCTGCAAATATCACTTCATTCCATCTCTACACATATGTCCATACACGTATTTATAAAAAACAAAATAAAAAACTGCTAATAGAAGTTACATAAAACCACAAACCACTACTAATAACTATCCTAAAAAACTGAAACATACAAACTGTAAATCAATCCATTTTAGTTTCTTAAACCGGTCCTTGAACCAACATTTTCTGTACCGGACTTGAACCAATAGAACCAACACTCCTCCTTGGTTCAATGTCTCTCAACCATGTCAATCAAAAGAGTTGTTCCACTTCACTTTCTTCAGCCTTGTTCGCTTCAATTTCAACATTTTCAGTATTCTTTTCTTTGCAAATCTTCTCGACATGCCCCATTTTATTGCATTTCCTGCATTTAACATCGGGTCTTTTCCAACATCTCCAATGTGGATGACCCTTCTTACCACAATGCTTGCACGATTCAATGGATTGCTCACCAAATTTTTCATTTCCTGTAGAATTTATTTTTGCATTTGCTATTAGAGCACCTTCCACCGATTCATCCTTTCTCATAGACTCCTCCTTTCTCATAAACCTCCTTTGTTCTTGCGCTTGAAGGGCACAAAGAACCTCTGACAATTTGATTTTCGCCATGTCTTTAGTGTTCTCCAAAGATGCCACCGTTGCTTCAAACTTTTCCGGAATAGAAACCAGAATTTTCTGCACAATCTTAACATCATCAACTTCGGTGCCAAGAATTCTTACCTTGTTGATTATATCGACAAGACGATCGATATAATCTTTCACAGACTCGTTTTCCTTCATTTTCTGTCGTTCGAATTCTCGCAGCAAATTCAGAACCTTCAATCCTCGAATTTTTTCATCCCCTTCGTACTCCTTTTTCAGAAATTCCCACATACCTTTCGCCGATTGAAGCTTCATAATCTTGATCATGATTGAGGGAGAAACTGCAGCAAACATGCACGATTTCGCCTTCGCCTTCCTCATCACTTTCTCTTTGTGATTCTTAAGTTGGTTTGTCGTCGGGTTTACCGGTAATGGAGGAACGTCGTAATCCTCCTCAACAGCTTCCCAAAGATCGGCACCCTCCATAAACGCTTGCATTCTGACGGCCCAAACCTCATAGTTTTCCCCGTCGAAGATCGGGGCAACCATGTTTAAAGCCGAATTCACCGAATTTTCAGATTGATCCATGTTCGATCCACAGATCCCAGAAAGACCTCAAAACGCTCTGATACCACTGTTATCTTCCTTTTAATTCCTCTCAAAGAGTGTTTCTCTCTCTCAATTCACTCTTTCTTTGAATTAAAGGAAGACATAAAAACAAGAACTATTTCTCTGCAAATATCACTTCATTCCATCTCTACACATATGTCCATACACGTATTTATAAAAAACAAAATAAAAAACTGCTAATAGAAGTTACATAAAACCACAAACCACTACTAATAACTATCCTAAAAAACTGAAACATACAAACTGTAAATCAATCCATTTTAGTTTCTTAAACCGGTCCTTGAACCAACATTTTCTGTACCGGACTTGAACCAATAGAACCAACAGCTGTGATCAAAGAGACGCTACGGCTACACCCTTCAGCTCCTTTGCTGGTTCCAAGACAGTTGATCGAAGATGTTAGAATCAAAGGGTATGACGTAACAGCTGGTACTCAGGTAAGCAAAGGACAAAACTACCAGGTGACGTCATGTTTTTTTGTACGGAATGATACACCATAAATACGAAACCCTGAATCTGAATATAGTGAATGCTTTTCCTAAAACCCTCGAGTATGATTCCAGCATATTTCAAAACTATTACTATCGCAAATGGTATATTTGTCAACGCAGTTACGATCATTTGAGAGACAGGTACTGATCAACTACTGGGCGATGGGGCGAGAAACCGCGACATGGGGAGAAGATGCGGAAGAATTCAAGCCGGAGAGGCATTTGGATTCGTCAGTGGATTTCCGTGGACAAGACGCCAAGTTCATACCGTTCGGGATAGGGAGAAGACAATGCCCTGGAATAGGGTTTGCCTTGGTGATGGCCGAGCTGGTGTTGGCCAATCTCATAACCCGGTTCAATTGGGAAATTGCCACCAAACCGGAAGGAGATCATTACGATTTGGCAGAATCAACCGGTCTCGTGGTTTCCCGCAAGTACCCTCTACTCGCATACGCATCTCCAGCTTCGTAAGCAGTTTATAGGTCACGTTGAATAAATATGATCCAACTTCCATCAACCAATGGGAATTATAAAAAGCAGATGCATATATAAAATAAAAGGTATTTCTCAAATTGTAGCATATACAATTCGTGTTTCACTTGAAAATTATTATCCCCGTTTTATTTAAAATTTGTTTACGGTTCGTGAGGTTGGATGAATGTAGCATCCCAACCTCTTTTTAAATGTCTGATAGCGACTGCCTCGGAGAAAAAACTCTGCGCATATTGGAAATTTTATTAAGATTATACGATCCATTTGTTATATTATTTTTATATAATTCACAAAAATAAAATTACCATAATTAAATTCCTTGAAACGTGTAGCTGCTACCGTCACACCACGAACCAATCGGGCACTACTCACTACACCCACAAAGCAAATATAATAACCGATTAGGCAAACTATCATTGAATAAGGCAAATCCAGAAATTTCTCCAACAACCCATAAATTTAATCAGAAGATAAATTGGTAATTAATCAAGTTTTGATAGAGAAGAAAAAGAAGATTAATCTCGAATCAATACCATTAGTTGTCACATGATTTTGTGCGCATATAGTTTCGCACGGAAGCAAATCATTGGTTGTATCGTTTGTCGTAAAGACGCACGTGACTTCGCGCATGCACACGTGTCTCTGTGTGTGTGTGTATATATAGAAGAGTGTGTGTGTATATAGATGCGGAATTGAGGCCACATAACGGAGGCTTTGGTCGTGAGAGAGAGATGGGGATGTGGAAGGTGAAAGGAGTTGCGTACAAACCCCTCGTCGATGCTGATTTTGATGGTCGCAGTGATCAGATTTACATCTCTCCCAATGTTAAAGGTCTCTCCCTATTTATTTTTTATTTTTATTTTTTCTCCCTCATCCTTGCGATTTTTATGTGAATTCTTGCATTACATAAAAAAAATACATTATTCTTTTTTTTTCTTCATTTTGTTATAGATTTAAATTCATTTAACATTGGGAATTTCTATTAATGTTACATAATCACATAATGTCTTGTATTATGACATGATTGTGTATTGGTTTTAACAGCATTTGGCAATTTTTTTTTTGTCAAAGGTTGGTATTTTTTTTGGCAATTCTTTATAGTATGATATACTTCACTGTTTTTTTTTTTTGCGGTATGTTTTAGATTTATTGGATAATAATGAGGAGCCAGTGTTGGAAATATGAAATATCATGTAGTATAACAAAAAGAAACAATGTTTTTTACGAAATAGTAAGATTGTGTATATATACGTACGTGATGTGTAATATATATATATATAGCACCGAGAATGGCGGGTGTTTTGGTGAAGATCTTCGCCTGGGTTTTGGAACTCCGGCCGCTGGGGAAGTTGTTGCTCTATTTTCTTAAGAGGAACAATCTCATCAACAAGGTAATTAAAATCCCAATTAATTACTGTTTTAAATATATGATATTGATATCTTCTTTTTTTCCTTTTTCACGCACCTTTAATTACTTTCACATTAATCTAACCGAGTTAATCGTGATTATAGTGGACATTGACTTTTTTTTTTTAATTACCGGATGTCCTCGCCAATAACCAAACTAATCTCGGGATTGAGAGCAATTCATGTGATCGGAATTACATTTTTCTCTCCAACTTAAGGTTCGAATTGGGGTGGAACAGACGCTTTGTGTTTCTGTTTCACCGGTTCAACTATCCAAGTTGGATCAAGAGAAGATTTTCCACAATTCTACTTTGAAATTTTCCGGAATCGGAATGAAATCAATACGGAAATCAAATACATAAAATCTCCGGAAAAAAAAATCTCTGATATTTCAGCCGAAATTTCCACAAAGAAACGTTCATTTATACGGCCATAGGCAAGGGGAAAAAAAAGTGAACGGATTTTGTTTACGATAAGTTGCTTTGGTTGCGTCGACATTGGTGTGGAAATCAAACCAAATTAATGTGCAAACCTAACAATTTATTACATATTAATTTGATTAATTATCTAAGAACTTTATTCTTATCGCCGGAAACGTATACGTCAAACCCACTCACTTACATATCATACGTTCTTAATTAATTTCGCTAATTAATGCAACCTAATTATGTTGACTGAATTTTTATATGAATATTTTTACCCTCAGCCTTTAATCGAAATATTTTTTTTATAAGATCAGCGTTGATCAGTTAATGTTATCTTCCGTTGGAAAATGTCGTACCTAAAATTTTGACCGTATCAAAAAATTGTGTCACGTGTAGTAGAGTGGTTAATATTTGGTTGCAAGATGGTGTAGTAACTTTTAAACCTCTTCTCGATTTTTCAGAATAGACCGTCATATCAGTGTATATGCACACACCGCATATATATATATATATATATACATGGCGGACCTAGAGAAATATTTAGAAGGGTACACAATCTAATTTTAATATTCTATATGGGGGTATTTAGCAAATATATTTAAAATTTTATAAATTTTATAAAGAAACTTAATATGTTTTTATGAAATGACTGGGGACACATGCCCCCATTCCTCTTGTCTTGGGTCTGCCCCGTATATATATATATATATATATATATATAATGTATATATGTGTATATGTATGTATACAAAAATTCGAACCTATCTATTTAAGGTTCTCTGAAAAATAAAATACGAAGTTACAAATTGAAAAATATTTCATTAGTTAAATACCAATAAATAATTTTATATTATAACAAAATTTGATTTTATATTTACAAATATCACTTTTTTAAAAAAAAGTTGGATTGGAATTTCCCATATTAAATACATTTTTAAATTCGCAACCCATAAAAATAGAAGAAAAAAGGCGTCCGGGGTGTATGATAAATAACACGGGTGATATTGTTGCAGTTGGTGACGGAGGCACGGCTCGAGGAGCCACCCATGTACACTCCTCAACCCATTCATCAAGGTGAATAATGATGATGATGACGACGACGACGATGATGATGATGATAATGATGATGTCATGGGAACAATGGCTGTTTTGCAGATCTTGAAGAGCAAGACGTGGAAAGCACAGATCCTGATTCGTCTCCTTCAGAGCGGGTTAAAGAAGCTGTAAATTGTTTGCCTTGGAGCACAAGAAACGAAAGAGATGAACAGAAACTAGGGTTTCGCCATTGGACAATACTTGACTATTCCAGAGCCTATTCATCAGGAGATATAACTCCTACAACGGTAGTAACTAACTTTCTTCACCATTTAAAATTTCCAAAAAAACTCTGTTTCTCGGATTCTTATGCTGAATTCTCCTCTTTCTCAAACTGTGTCGAGGTTGTCGAGAGGTTTATAGCATCCGTTGAAGAATCTAATCGCTCGGATCTTCGAATGTCGTTCTTCATCAACTGCGACGCCATTGACGTTCTGAAACAAGCAAAGGAATCGACTCTAAGATATAAAAAAGGTTCGGTTTTTGGCTAAATGGCATATAAAATGTGTTAGTATACTGCAACTCATTCAAATAACAGAAAAACTTAAGAGAATAGTGCAATAATTAATTTCAGGAGAGCAAATCTCAGTTCTTGATGGAATTCTTGTGGCGGTGAAAGACGAAATCGACTGTCTTCCATATCCAACAACAGGTTTTCTTACCAAAACCGGAAATCTTCTGTCCTAAAACATATGCGGTATATATACCGACGAACGCTGAATGTGATGATTCGTTTCTGAACAATGGCTTGTTTGAATGTTCAAGGAGGAACCAAGTGGCTACACAAATTCAGACAATGTACGAGGGATGCGTGTTGCGTTGAGCGTCTAAGACAATGCGGGGCGATACTTGTCGGGAAGACGAATATGCACGAGCTTGGCGCTGGAACAAGCGGCATAAATCCTCATTACGGGTAAGACAGACCGCAAAGCATGACCGAGATTACATGTAGAACTTAAATCATAAAGGATCACAAAAACGGAATAAAACTGAATCGTAAATGCATACCTCTAAGCCATTGATGTAATTATTGTAGAAAATGAACTGATTTTGAGAACTTCTATACCTTAAGCAATTTCATAATTGATGGTGCATTTTAATTTTGTCTAAATGATTTGATAGGTTTAGGGACCCAAAACATCATAACGCACATCCATTGTTCTTATTCATCATAAAAAAACATGTAATGAGGTGGTTATCATTATTTGCAATGTTGGACGAGGTTTACTAATCAACTCCCAATATTATAGGAAGTTTAAAAAAAAAAACCCTTCCAAGATTATAGGAAGTTAACAAACATTAATTACTTGTGGTCACAAACAGGACGACAAGAAATCCGTACAACAGAGATAGGATTAGTGGTGGATCTTCGAGTGGATCTGCTGCGGTCGTGGCTGCTGGATTGTGCCCAGTCGCTCTTGGTGTTGACGGTGGAGGTATATTTTCATATATATATCTCTTTCTAATCAACTTTTCATTATTGAGAAAACCTTAATTGGGGTTTTTTGTCTGCAGGATCTGTTCGAATGCCTGCAGCCCTTTGCGGGGTTGTCGGTTTTAAACCAACCTTTGGCCGTATTCCTCATTCTGGGTACTGATATAATTTGTTTCTCGGTTACAAAATATGTAACCTTTTGTTAGCAAAAGATCAGAATGCTAACAGTTGTCTGCTGAATCTGTCCATGCAGAGTTCTTCCTTTGAACTGGACAATGGGAATGGTCGGAGTACTTTCAGCAACAATAGAAGACGCGTTCATCGTGTAAGCGACCGTTGTTCTCTTTTTCACATGTCTTGTTCGTTCGTAAATAATTTCCGATTTCTCTGATCTCGTGTTCCATCAGATACGCAGCCATTAGCGGTCAGCTTCCGTCTGAGGAGCTTATAACTTCGCCCGTAAGTAAGCTTTGCTCTGATACAATGATCTGCCATATAGACAGGCTTTCTTACATCTCTCCTGTCCTCAGCCAAAGCTGTCCTTTCCGAAACTGGGCTCAACGATGGGAATCACAGACATAAGACTTGCAAAATATGGAGAGGTTAGAGTTTTATTTTGCACACTGATGCATTGCCTTACATTTCAGATTCTTTTTTTTTTCCTGTTCTCAACGTTTTTCCTCCTTTAGTGGTTCAACGACTGTAGCAGTGACATAAGACTTCGTTGTTCCGAGGCTCTTCTTCGACTTTGTCAGAACTACAACTGGAAGGTGTGTGTGTGTATATATATATATATATATATATATATATATATATATTTACAGAGAAACAAAATTTTTCAGACAATTTCTAACTCGTTCATGTGTAAGAAGACTGTAGAGGTAACGATACCGGACATAGAAGCGATGCGTCTTGCCCACTATCTGACGATCGGAACTGAATGTTCCGCTTCACTCAGCTCCTATCTGGAGAGACTGTTAGTTGTTTTTACGCGTCTGACTAATTTTGTGTATGGTTTTGATTCGGGATTTGGATTTTTGACACTGGATTTCTTTGATGAAACAGTGATTACTCCGAACTAGGATGGGATGTAAGAGTGGCTCTCAGTATATACGGCGCTTTCAGCGGCAAAGACTATATAATGGCTCAGAAAATGAGGTCGCTATGTAACTACACAACTGTTTTCAATCGTAACTGGTTGATGTTCTGACGTTGATTCTTCTTGTTCGATAGGAACCGTCAGAACCACATTCACCAGAAGGTGTTCGAGAAGGCTGATGTAATTGTCGTGCCGACAACTGGGTAATATCTGTTCTTCCTCGCTTCCATCTTTAGTTTATGTTCATGTAACGAGATCAGATGCTGACGACAGAATCTGTCTTTGGGAAAAAGGGTAACTGCATACCCGATTTTGGCAGATGCCCTTCAGACGGGTGAACTTGAATATGTCAAGGGAGGTAAGCGTATTCGCGAGATGTTTATTAGCACAAATCTTCATGATAACTCGATGAGTATATATACATACATACCCGCCATTGCTGCAGCTGCACTCGTTCGGTATCAGATTGCTGGAAATTTTCTAGGATTGCCGGCTGTAACCGTACCGGTACGTACGTGCCGAAAACCCACGATCAGAATTCTCTCGCTTCTTCCATTTTCGAATCTTTCCAAGATAGAGAACCGGTTTTCGGAATCTGCACTGCAGGTAGGGCACGACAGAGATGGTTTGCCGATCGGTATTCAGTTCATAGGGAAGCCATGGTCTGAAGCAACACTCCTTCACATCGCATACGCAATGCAGGTACTTTCGTCGGAATCCGGTGCCATGTTCTAGATTATATATATATGTGTATATTTATAAACCCAGGATGATAATTTGATTCTTTTTGGAATTTGGTTGCAGGCTTTGTACGTTCAAGAATGCAGGAAGCCAGAGGTTTACTATGATCTGATTAACGAGAACTGATACAATCTGAGAGATGTTTGTGTTGAAACTGGTTGCTTGTCTCTGAAAATAAGATCATTGTGTGATTTGCCACAGTCGTCACCGACTCACCCCTATATATATATATATGTCGACCATCACTGCACATTTATTTCTTTGTACAATCACATAACAAAAAAAAACCCAGAAAGACAACCAAAACGAAGAACGCCGTTCATGTGCCACATTAACGCGACAGGCAAGGACAGGTTTTATTATGTGATAAACATTCGTTCTTATTTTATTATTATTTTTTTTATCAGAAAAGTGAAAATAATTAGCAAGGTTTGGTACAGAAGCATCGTTGGCGCAATCCACGGCAGTGGCCGCCCGGGAAACCCTCGCTCCTACAAACCATCGCGCAGTTGTGGTCCGAGAGACACCTGTACTTGAATCCATGGCTCTGTGACTCGCACTGCCTCCCCTCCGTCCTTATCGCCATTTCCTCTTTTTATTTTTTTTTCCAAAACAAAAAAAATTCAGAAATTAAACTGATATGCTTACGAGGAGGGTTTCTGAAAACGTAAAAAAAATGCAAATTGTCGGTGCAAATTTGAATCTAGGTTAACTTGATAACGTAAATGGTTTTCATGCATGGTTCAAGAAATTACGAACGGAGGGATCATCTGACTTACGAGAGCCAACTAAAATCACCAGGAAGATGGCGAGAATCTGCAACTTCGTTTCCATTTTCGGACAAATCTTTGATCTCCTTCTTCCAATGTATGTATTTGTCAAGTATATTTTTTTGTACGTTCTTATATACACATGCAAGGACATGTACGTGTGGAAAATTATAAAGATCGTGAAAGGAAGGACGTTTGTCGAGCGGTGGAAGCAAGTTGCGACACGATGCATACCTTTGCTGAATTACGTGTTGGCTTCGGAGTTTAACGTGTCACTTGCATGCAATAGTTACCTTTTTTTGTAAAAAAAAAAAATCAGGTTCAAACATAACACACATATTTCTGGGATTTATTGGGTGAAAACTCACTAGATTCCTAAATCAATTAGCAGTAGTGTTAGTATATTGATATATTATTATTATCTATTACAATTATTTTCCTAAAATTATGCCACTATTTATACTTAATTTCCTCCATGTTTTCCTCCATGTTTTCCTCCATGTCTCTTCATGTTTTCTTCCATATTTTATGTCATTATGTCTTTTATGCATTGTATATATATGAGATGTAATCCTCATCATAAATTTATTCAATCACATTCTTATAAACCAAATTATATCATGGTATCAAGAGCTTAAGTCAAAAGACATTTTTTTTTCTCCTTCGAAACTTTTTTTTTCTCCTTCGGCTATTACGCACGTCGTCGATCTTCTCTTTACGCTATGGCCTCTTCCGACTCTCCTTCTAGCTCTGCCGGTCTCCCGAGCGACACGGTCACGATCTTTGACTCCGACAATCCGAGCTCGACGTTGATTAACGTCAATGTTTCGAATGTTTCGAAACTCACGGCCATGAACTACTTGACATGGAGTATTCAACTTCGTGCCTTAGTCCAAGGATACAATCTCGAAGACTTCCTCGATGCGGCCAAAGTGCCGGCTACCACTATCATCACCAACAATGTACTATCTCCTAACCCGACCTATAAGTCGTGGTTTCGTCAGGACCGTCTTGTTTTCTCGGCTCTCCTCGGTGCGATCTCAAGTCCCTGTCAAGCTCTCGTCGTATCGACCACCTCTGCCGCAGATGCATGGGCTACTCTAGCCCAAACTTATGGCCGATCTAGCCGTGGCCACATCAAACAACTCAAAGACCAGATGCGGCGCCATACAAAAGGCACCAAAACCGTCAATGACTACATGAACTTCTTCAAGATTAAAGCGGACGAGCTTGCACTTCTCGGCAAACCTATGGATCATGAGGATCTCATTGATCTAATTCTCGCTGGCCTCGGTGATGAGTACAAGACTATCAAAGACGTCGTACATGCTCGAGACACTCCGATCTCATTTGTCGAGTTACATGAGAAACTGTTGAGTCTTGATGTCGACCTTGCTGCCATACATCTCTCAGATCCTCCTATTTCGGCTTATGCAACACAACATACCTCTCGATCTTGGCGCCCTCCCACTGGTTTTGGTCCCCAACCTTCATCAATGCCCCGACCTTCTCTTGCTCAGGGTTCTCGCTCAACTCAATCTCGATCTCAACCATGGCGTACACAGTCTCGAGGATACCTCGGAAAATGCCAACTCTGCGGTGTTCAAGGGCATAGTGCCCGAACATGCCGCCTGCTTCCTCCTTCGGTTGCCCGCTCTCCTGCCGACTCCAGTCCACCTCATACCACTGGTCCTTGGAAACCATTGGCTCAGACTGCAACTGTCTCCCCCTCTCAACCATCATCTTGGTTGCTCGACTCGGGAGCCTCTCATCATGTCACTACCGACCTTGCTAATTTATCTCTCCATTCACCCTACCAAGGAGGAGATGAAGTTATCATTGGCAACGGCTCCGGACTTGCCATAACACACACTGGTTCCTCGTCTCTTCCCTCTAACTCTCGTCGTCTTAATCTTCAAAACGTCCTTTGTGTTCCTACCATGCATAAGAACCTCATCTCCATTCATCAACTTTGTTATTCTAACAATGTTTCGGTGGAATTCTTTTCTCGTTTCTTTCAGGTGAAGGATCTCAACACGGGGGCACCGCTGTTAACCGGGCCCCTTAATGGCGGTGTGTATGAATGGCCGACTATCCATTCCTCGTCTGTATCCTCCAATAAGCCCTCGGCTCTTGCTCTTTCGAGTGTCAAGACCTCTCTCTCTGAGTGGCACTCTAGATTAGGTCATCCGTCTAAAGACGTTTTAAACTCTATTATTTCACGTTTTTCTCTTCCATTGTCCTCTTTGTCGAGTCGTCCATTGTCTTGTGAGTCTTGTTTTATTATTAAAAGTCATAAACGTCCTTTTTCTACTTCCACGCTTACCTCATCTCGACCTCTTGAACTTTTATACTCGGACGTATGGACTTCGCCCGTCACCTCTTTTGACGGGTACAAGTATTATGTTATTTTTGTTGATCATTTTACCCGATATACATGGTTTTACCCTATGCGGCACAAATCTCATGTTTCGACTATTTTTCCAAAGTTTAAATCTCTTGTTGAAAATCGTTTTCAAACAAAAATTGTCACTCTTTATTCGGATAATGGTGGAGAATATATTGCACTTCGAGATTTTCTTTCGTGTCATGGTATTTCGCATCTTACTTCTCCTCCCCACACACCCGAGCATAATGGTATTTCGGAACGTAAACATCGTCATGTTGTTGAAACCGGACTTACAATTTTATCTCAAGCATCCATCCCTTTGGACCTTTGGAACTTTGCTTTTCCAACGGCAGTCTATTTGATCAATCGTCTCCCTTCTTCGGTCCTTCACGGTCGTTCCCCTTTTGAGGTTCTTTTCGAGTCATCTCCAAACTATATTAAACTTCGTACCTTTGGTTGTCTTTGCTACCCGTGGCTTCGTCCTTATTCTAGTCATAAACTACAACCTCGATCGGCCCCTTGTGTCTTTGTGGGTTACTCTCTCACCCAAAGTGCTTTCCTTTGTTTGCATGTTGCCACTTCCCGTCTATATGTCTCTCGTCATGTTGAGTTTGTTGAGTCGGAATTTCCTTACTCTAGGCTTCTTTCAACCTCTCACTCTCCGGTTAACTCTTCTCCATTCCCATCTATCTCTCGGTCTTCCCTTGTTCCATGCCGGTCTGATCATTCTTACACATTGTCATCGCCTGAGCTGGTCTCCCGTGTTGTCCCGTCACCCACAAGGAACTCCTCCATACCTCTCACCTGCTCTTTGTCGCCTTTGCTACCTCCTCAACCTTCTCCGCACCTGATGCCTCATGACCCTCCTGATCCCATGCTTACCGTGTCAAGACCTCTCTCTCTGAGTGGCACTCTAGATTAGGTCATCCGTCTAAAGACGTTTTAAACTCTATTATTTCACGTTTTTCTCTTCCATTGTCCTCTTTGTCGAGTCGTCCATTGTCTTGTGAGTCTTGTTTTATTATTAAAAGTCATAAACGTCCTTTTTCTACTTCCACGCTTACCTCATCTCGACCTCTTGAACTTTTATACTCGGACGTATGGACTTCGCCCGTCACCTCTTTTGACGGGTACAAGTATTATGTTATTTTTGTTGATCATTTTACCCGATATACATGGTTTTACCCTATGCGGCACAAATCTCATGTTTTGACTATTTTTCCAAAGTTTAAATCTCTTGTTGAAAATCGCTTTCAAACAAAAATTGTCACTCTTTATTCGGATAATGGTGGAGAATATATTGCACTTCGAGATTTTCTTTCGTGTCATGGTATTTCGCATCTTACTTCTCCTCCCCACACACCCGAGCATAATGGTATTTCGGAACGTAAACATCGTCATGTTGTTGAAACCGGACTTACAATTTTATCTCAAGCATCCATCCCTTTGGACCTTTGGAACTTTGCTTTTCCAACGGCAGTCTATTTGATCAATCGTCTCCCTTCTTCGGTCCTTCACGGTCGTTCCCCTTTTGAGGTTCTTTTCGAGTCATCTCCAAACTATATTAAACTTCGTACCTTTGGTTGTCTTTGCTACCCGTGGCTTCGTCCTTATTCTAGTCATAAACTACAACCTCGATCGGCCCCTTGTGTCTTTGTGGGTTACTCTCTCACCCAAAGTGCTTTCCTTTGTTTGCATGTTGCCACTTCCCGTCTATATGTCTCTCGTCATGTTGAGTTTGTTGAGTCAGAATTTCCTTACTCTAGGCTTCTTTCAACCTCTCACTCTCCGGTTAACTCTTCTCCATTCCCATCTATCTCTCGGTCTTCCCTTGTTCCATGTCGGTCTGATCATTCTTACACATTGTCATCGCCTGAGCTGGTCTCCCGTGTTGTCCCGTCACCCACAAGGAACTCCTCCATACCTCTCACCTGCTCTTTGTCGCCTTTGCTACCTCCTCAACCTTCTCCGCACCTGATGCCTCATGACCCTCCTGATCCCATGCTTACCGAACCACCAACCCAAACTTTGCTCCCTGACTCACCTGTTCATACACTCACTGACCTACCACCACCTCTTGTTCCCCCACAAAACACTCACCCTATGGTTACTCGCTCCAAAAACAACATCACTAAACCGCACCCCAAGCTTAGTCTTACCTCTGCCCTTCATCCAACCCATGATGTGGAACCTACGTGTGTTTCGCAAGCTCTTAAGGATCCAAAGTGGCGTGATGCTATGGCTGAGGAGTTCAATGCCTTGCTTCGCAATGGCACTTGGACTCTTGTTCCGTCTCGATCGTCTTATAACGTGGTTGGTTGTAAGTGGGTTTTTCGTACTAAGCGACACTCTGATGGCTCTATTGATAGGTACAAAGCTCGTCTTGTGGCCAAGGGATTTCACCAACGGCCTGGGATTGATTACACAGACACATTCAGTCCTGTCATCAAACATGCCACTATCCGTGTTGTCTTGAGCATTGCGGTTTCCAAAGGTTGGGTTCTTCGCCAACTTGATGTCAATAATGCGTTCCTTCAAGGCACTCTTGACGATGATGTATACATGACTCAACCGCCAGGCTTCATCGACAAAGATCAGCCATCCTTCGTATGCAAGCTCCATAAAGCTCTTTACGGTCTCAAGCAAGCTCCTCGAGCGTGGTACAATGAACTTGGCCGGTTTCTCCTTGAGTGCGGGTTTATTAACTCCCTCTCTGATACCTCATTGTTCATTCTTACCCGTGATATTGTTACTATCTATGTTCTTGTGTACGTTGACGATATCATTATCACGGGTAGCCACTCGAAGGATGTGCAGAGCTTCATTGATGTCCTCGCTCGTCGGTTCTCTATCAAAGATCTCGGCTCATTATCATACTTTCTTGGCGTCGAAGTCAACCGCACATCAACCGGTGTTCTCCTCACTCAACAACGGTACATTTCTGACGTTCTTGCACGACATTTTATGGCAGATGCCAAGGCTGTACCAACCCCGCTCCCATCTACCTTGAGCCTCCGACTCAACGCTGGTTCTCCTCTCGCCGATCCTACCGAGTACCGTCAGATTTTGGGTAGCTTACAATATCTTCTTTTCACTCGGCCTGACATTGCATTTGCCGTCAACAAACTATCTCAATACATGCATCGTCCGTGCTCGGATCATTTGCAAGCCCTCAAACGTATTCTCCGATATCTGAATGGCACTCGATCCCTCGGAGTTTTCATCTCACGTTCATCTCCTCTCTCACTACATGCATTTTCGGATGCCGACTGGGGAGGTGATCGTGATGATTTCTCTTCGACGGGAGCTCACATTGTCTATCTTGGACGCACTCCTGTGTCATGGTCGTCCAAGAAACAACGCTTTGCTGCCAAATCTTCCACTGAGGCCGAGTACAAATCAGTTTCCTCGACAGCATCCGAGGTACAATGGCTTATGTCTCTCCTCTCTGAGCTCGGTGTCATGTTCTCTCATATGCCGGTTATTTACTGCGATAATATTGGTGCTACATATCTATCGGCGAATCCTGTTTTTCATTCTCGGATGAAACATGTTGCCATTGATTACCATTACATTCGGGGTCTCGTTCAAGCTCAGAAGCTTCGCGTCTCTCATGTTTCATCTGCGGATCAACTTGCCGATGCTCTCACCAAATCTCTCCCACGCCAACGGTTTGAGTTTCTTCGGTCCAAGATCGGTCTTCTATCCGACACCGATCTTGCGGGGGCATGTTAGTATATTGATATATTATTATTATCTATTACAATTATTTTCCTAAAATTATGCCACTATTTATACTTAATTTCCTCCATGTTTTCCTCCATGTTTTCCTCCATGTCTCTTCATGTTTTCTTCCATATTTTATGTCATTATGTCTTTTATGCATTGTATATATATGAGATGTAATCCTCATCATAAATTTATTCAATCACATTCTTATAAACCAAATTATATCAAGTAGAATTTGGAAATTATGAAAATTAAAACCTGATTAAACGAAGGCTTATGAAAAAATGTTTTTTTGTGATTCGTGGACTATAACCACTGTTTTATAGATATATAAAGTGTCGGAGACAAGAATTCGTAATTTCCCATCATTGCAAAAGTGTCTTTAACCAAATATACAGCAATTTCCAATATATATACAGCAATTTTAACATCCATCATATTCATGGTTCGACCCATCAATTAATGCTCTCAGACAGTGGCACACCTAAATGTCATGAATATCGTCACGTGGATGCGTAATATGGAGATTTCATGCGATGTTTAAATTAAAACGTTTAAATAAATTAAAATGTTTTGGTTTTTAAACGGTTCGATTCGGTTTTAATTAATAAAAAAAAACAATTAGCGAACGATTTGATTTAATTGGTTTAATTTTAAAACGATTCAACTCGATTATAAACGACTATTAACAAAACAAATAAAAATAATAATAAATATAAAACGAAAAAAAAAACCTAAATCGTATTTTAGGAGGAGTTATAACGTAGAGTGGCAATCCATTTGGGCAATGCAACAAATAAAATAAATCTGATAAGTTTTCCGCTCCAAAGTGGGTCCTTCGAGATAATTTATCCTTTTAATTAAGGCTTCAAACCAAAAATATGAACAACCTTTTACAAAAAAAAAAATATGAACAACAAAATCAATACCAAAAATTTGATCGGATAATAATATATTTATATTAATGACACCTATATATATTTCTTAATAACCTGCAAATCGCAAGATCAAAGCGAAATCATTCTCAGGTTCGTAACCTTATGAATATAAAATTGGTCCAACCCAAAAGTACATTCACATTAATAAAGATCACAGTTAAAATACAAAAAAAATATATATATATAATCTCGAATTATTATTTTAGAAGATGTTTTACAATTAAATTTACAACACATACTACTTTTCTATTTTAAAATAATTATAAGTTTTAAATAAATAAATTATAAACTCAAAAGGATAACAAATAACAAAAGATCAAACTCAAACGGATAGCAATACACTAACTAGACATATTTAGAAAAACAAATATGAATATCTTTTTTTTTTTTTGCAATTCATCTTTATTATGGTATTAAATGTGCGCTGTCCATTAAAGAAACATGAAGTAGATTCTTTTTTAATCAATCAATTTTAGTGTTTAACTAATTTAATATTTACGAGTTATTATTATTGCTCTCACGTAACACCAATAAAATAAATAAAACCGCAAACGAAGAAAATATTAAACGAAGAAGAAGAAGATATTAATTAATAAAATAAAATCAACGATGAAAAAAAAGGAGGTCAAATCTTGTGGTGGTGAAGACACTGCCTTTAGCCAAACAGGGCTTCGACCAAATTGCCAGAGAGAGAGAGTGAGAGCCGGCGATTTTGATTAAGAGCTCCAATACCTAGACGAAGTAGAGAAATTTTCAGTGCCGAGAAAAGTCTACGTGTTATCTCTCTGTTACTTCATCTTGTTTCTGTCAAGCTTTCAACGTCTGATCTAGTCATCTTCCATGGATCCATTCGATTTCTTCCGCAAAGGTTCGCCGCCCTTCTCGTAGATCTTCGCGTTCTTTGGTATTCCGTGTCTTTTTGGGTGGTTTGATGAATTGGGTTTCTCGTGAATTTCGATTTTTTTTTTTGTGTGTGTGTGGGAAGAATGTGAGATTGTATATTCGGAATTTTCAGTGATAGATTTGCTTCGCAGCTCATGGATTTCTCTGCTGTTTTTTTTGGGTTCATTTTCAGTCTTATCTAATTCTTCAGCGGCATCTTCTTAGAGTGATAGTGGTTCTTAATCCTCTGCTGTCGAAGGATAAGGTCTCATGTATATTTGGAATTTGAGGGTTTAAGTTTCTGTTTTTGGGGTTCCAGATTTGTGGTCATGTTTTTTATCCATAAACGTCATGTTTGTCTATGCGAAGAAGCCGCTGACCCTCTTTTATGTACTCGCAGACAAAAAACGTTAATGTTTCTATTAAAGTGTAATGTACTGGTTTTGGTTATTAATACAAGTATTGGAGTTATGGCAAATGATTGAATTCTTGCATGGATGTGGAATAAATGAGATGCGGGTTTTGTTTCTTGCTAATGAAAATCATCATGCCATTCTGTTTCTGCAGGTTTCGGGTGAAAACTATCATTATTGGTCGTGCTTTCAGAAAGTGTTTTATATTTTTGGTGGTGGCTGTAGCTTTTTTGTTTACGTTTTGTTGAAGAATGAGCTTATCCAAGAAAGCGCTTCAGACGAGTAGCAAGCCAACGACGTTGAACCCAAATGCTGCTGAGTTCATCCCGTTTGCTCTTAGATCTCCTTCATCTGGAAGTAGTAGCATGTTAGATGCGAAACCGAGGCTTGCAGCTTCTACTAGTTCGGTAGGGAAATCTGTCCTGGATCGGACAGAATCATCAGATGAAGAAGCACATCAGTTCTGGAGTGACCAGCTCCCGGACGATATAACCCCGGACTTCAAATCGATGACAGAAGATGACCCGCCTCATGGATTTGGTAGTCTACCGTTAGCTAGCCTGTCATTGCACGACATGAACGAAACTGCAAAGTTTCATACTCCTGCAGTTGGCGGCGGATTTGCACTTGCGGACCGATCTGATTTGTCTTCACAACACATGAACGGTAACTTGTCTGAAAATATGGGGTATCCGGTTTCATCATTTGGGGAGGATCCAAAGCTTTGGGATAAGCAAATTATGAATGGAGAGCAGCCTTACAGTGGGAATTCCCGGCACGGCTTCGTGAACGAATTGCTTAGAGAAAGTTCGAACATGGGTGAAATCGAGGTGAACCCTTTGGAATTCCTGGCTTCTCAGTTCCCTGGATTTGCTGCTGAGAGTCTTGCAGAAGTTTACTTTGCTTATGGGTGTGATTTGCACATGACAATTGAGATGCTTACTCAGCTTGAGGTATTGTCTAAATCAATATAAGTCACAGCTTTCAATGATATTTCATATGCTTGCACTATGTCCTATGTGCTGTGCCAGTGATATTTTTGGCTGGTTGTTGGAGAAAAAATATGCCTGTCATCAGCCTTCCCAAACCATTTTTTTAAAAGTTCTCTCGGACCTTCTTCTTGTTCTTTCCGCTTTGTATGGCTGAAGTTTTTTTTTGGCAATTTGCTGTTCCCTGCATTGGCAACTCATGTATTACTCTTGAATGCGTGATTCAATGTGATATTAATGAAAATTTTGATGGTATAGACAGGAAACTCGTATAAGTCAAACTCTTTCATGCCCTTCTTTGAAAGAGAAGTGCTAGCCTTCCATAATATCATGAGGGAATTGAATTTTAACCTCGAATTCGTGAGACGATATGTTTTGTTTAGTTTTCTTTGTAATTGCTGCGTCAAATAACGTGGCATTCGCTAACTTAGATATGTTTGCTTCCTCTTGTAAGGTCGGTTTTTTTGGTGGTTTTAGATTTTTTCTTTTACTGATCTGGTTTTGACACTTCTTCCTTTTGATTGTAGCTGCAAGTGGATGGTGGCCTGAACCAGAACTTAAGCCCAAAGACATTGTCTGCTCCTAATCTTACCGCAACGGATTTTCCCGCCCTCACGATCTCAGATAGCCTGGGTATTTCTGCCAAGTTTTCAGGGGATGATTACCAATCTTCTGAAAAGGATAACATGTTTTTCTTCAAGTCAAGGTCTTCTGGCTCGCATGCTGGTTCGATAGATTACGCCTCCACTGTCAGGAAACTGGCATCTCAGGATTCGGGTATGTGGAAGTACGAAAGATATGACTCAGTGGATTCGGCTATTGGTTCAAGCAGAAGCTCCCTCGGTTTAGCTGATGCTTACAAAAGTGGTGGGCGGGGAAGAAGCATTTACGCCAACAAGTTGCAAAATCGTGCCCCAAACCAATCTGCTCCTGTCTGGGTAGAAACTGGAGATGCAGTTGGTAAATTTTCCCCGTTTGACAAACTTTTTAGCACTCATGCATTCACTTAAATAATCTTGGACGTATATTAAGCTTCCGGTTAGTTGCACGAATTCTAAGAAATGAGAAAAATCAGCAGATGCATTCTCCGTATATGTTTCGCTCTCACGTTTTTGGGATGAACAGCAAATATGTACTCTGAATTGCGTGAAGAAGCCCGCGACCATGCATGTCTCCGGAATGCCTACTTTGAACAGGTATCATAATAATAGTATTCGTAACCTTCTTGTCTGCTTAAAATTGCTGAATTCCATTTTTCTTTTATCATCTCTTCTGGTTTCTTTTGTAGGGAGTGATTATATTTTAATGGTAAGAGCATGTATCTGTCCTTCTCGCTCTAACACTTGTCTTCTTGTAAAAAAACGTTAGCATAAGTGTGAAATGTTCTCTATGAGTGGTTTTGTTCAGATAAAGCTTTAACTTTAAGAACCTTGGTTGATGAAATCACCCTTTTTTTCATCGTTGTCCGAGGGTAAGGTTCAAATTTGCGTTATATAGTTAAATAATAATTCTATTTGTTGTTCTTTTTCGGTTGAGATTAGGCTCGACAAGCGTACCTTATCGGGAATAAGGCTCTGGCTAAAGAGCTAAGTGTCAAGGGACAGTTACATAACATGAAAATGAAGGGAGCTCATGGAAAAGCTCAAGAAGCCATTTACCGTCATAGGTTTGACATTTCTTTCTTCCGCATCTGTCGTCTGTACTTTTTAATCCCCTCGATTACATTACCACTTTGGATAACCCGGGATATAGTGAATCAGGAACCCAGTTGGCCAAGAGAACGTGAGAGGGAACGAGGGGATGATAGACCTGCACGGGCTACACGTGAGCGAAGCCATCCAAGTGCTGAGGCACGAGTTGAGCGTGTTGAGGAGCACGGCCCGGGAGCGGGTACAGGTTTACGTGTGCGTTGGGACGGGCCACCACACGCGTGGCTCGCGCACCCCGGCTAGGCTCCCGGTGGCGGTCCAACGCTATCTTCTCGATGAAGGCCTCGATTTCTCGGAGCCTCAGCCTGGTCTCCTTAGAGTTGTGATCTACTGACAGAACACCGGCAAAAGATTGTCAATACAGGACCTATAAAAAGATCAGAAGAGAGATTAGGGGATCTACGGAATTCATTTGTTGTATCTGTTCTGTAAATGTGAAGAGATGGTAGTTGCAGAAGAAAAAACAGGGAAAAAATGTAAGGAAAAAGGAGGGACAGATGAAGAAAGGCAGAGGAGGAAAGCTTGACTCGAAGCTTAATGTTTAGGTTGCTGGAAGCTTCAGATAAATACCCTTTTTTTTTCTTGTAGATTCTCAAGAGGGTCAAAACTTTGGTGATCTCTGTTTTATATTCTTCATACGATATTTTGTTAATTGTCTTAAATTTTCGGCCCATTTGTAGTTTTTAAACGAAATTAATCCAACCAGATGAAATCGATCTTAATGGAAGAATAGTGTAAAAAAAAGGGAAACTATTCTTTGGATTGTATACATTTGAGCAATGTTCCCGCGTTCCTACTCATCTCGCATCAATCCTCAGCCCTGACTCCGCCTTCACAGCAATGATCCGATTCTATGGGTTGCTGGCAATGGAATCCGCCATTGCATGACACATACCATGATGACAATGACGTCCTCCTCATCGGTGTCTCACTCATCTTTCACACTGCTGCAGAAAATCCAATGATGGCTGCATTATGCTTTTTTTTTTGTTCTTAAATTCCTGCTTGGGTTCCCTCATTTGAGGTTTTGGTTAGTGTAGTAGAATCTTGATATGGCTCTAACGTGAAAATAGACGAAAGAGAAACTAACTAGCTAATACAAAAAATACAAAAGCTTCAATTGAAACAAGAAACAAAGCTTTAACCTCACCTCAACCAACCTTCGTTTTCCGATTACAGACCCTTTTTTAATCCCCCAAGTTACTTACCAATAGAGAAGAAAGTTTAACTCTTACCTTTGGCAAACCATGGACGAAGCCGCACAAGCTTTCTGTAACATACAAACTCAAAAAAAAAAAAAAAAAAAAAACAA